TTTGTCTGTCCTGTTCATTTGTCTGTCACAAGGCATGGTGGCCTCAGTTCCAGCAGCTACCAAAAGGCTTGCTGCTGCTAGTGCTAGCACACCAGTGTGGTCTTGTATGTTAAGAAGCCACCTGTGCAACTGCAGAGATGCTGGGCAGTTGTGAAAGCAGTGGTACATCTTATGTGCTTCTGCTGGTCACCCCATCATACGGTAGAAGTGTGCTCTGCTTCAGCTGGAGAGTGTCACTTGGCACAGACATGAGCAGCATCTTTGCTAAATAAATAAAATGTTCTGAGCCAAGGTCTGTTTACCTGCCTAAGGCAAACTGGCACAGCTCAGTTTACATTAGTATAGTTTAGCTTTTATTTCCCCCAAAACAGAATATCAGCATCTAGTCTGCATACCTGAATTAGACCCTAGCCTGTACTGAACCCTGAGCAGTGGCAGGCACTGTCTGGGAGATTCCTGGCTGGCACAGGTCTTTTGATTTATACTAACAGCAGTGTTCTTTCTCCCTTTTAGCTTACTGCTACAGATGTAGCCTCGAAGTATTTGCTCCTCATAAATATTTATAGAATCATATTGAGCTCCACTTCAGTGTTGTTCCTTGCTCCTGAGGAGCTCCAGCCCTTTGCTTTTCCCAGGGAAGATTGTATCTCTACTTGACGCACATTAAAGAAGGTTTAAAGTCCGATCTGACCAGGAAGGGAGTCAAGAGACAATTAGATGTTATGAGCTGTCTTGTGAGGTTTGGAAATTTGACTCTGTGGATGGTGGGGAAACTAGGCAAGTTGCAACAGTGTGCAGCTCACAGTGGATAAACTGTCTTTCTAATCTCTTCCACATCTCCCACAATGCTAACATTAGGAGAACAAACACTTCACAGCCCCTTTGAGGGATTTAGAAGGGTTGTCCCTTGAAGGGCTACTCTGAATGAGCATTCACTACTTCTTCACTCCAATTATTCAATAAATAGATCTGGATTATCTTTATAATAAACTTGAGAAAAATGCTGAGCTGAATGCAGATTTACTGTTTACCAGCCTT